AAAACCCGGTTGCTGCTGCCCTTGCCCCCTTTCCCCCTCTCTCCCCAGCCCTGCCTGCCCGCGCTTTCCTCTCACCTCGACCCCTCTTCACCCTCTCCTTGGCTTCGTCTTCCTCCCCCCAAGCTCGGGCCTCTGTGGCCCCTGTCCAAGGACGCCGCTCAGCTCCGCGTCGCGCACGCTCCTTCTGCACCCCCGCAGCCCCGTCCTCCTTGGAGGAGACTCTTGGGGTGCCCCCAGGCCACTGCACCCACCTTTATTTTCTCCCCGGCCCCTGCCAGGGCCCCCAACTGCCCCCTCGCAGCGCCCCAGCTCGCGCCGCGGGCCCTACCCGACCTCTGTGCCTTCTGCACCGCGGCCTTGCATTCGCAGGCCCCTCTGCTGGCCGCCCCCTTCCTCCTCAGGTGTCCCGTTTGGGGGGGCCCCGGATGTACCTCTTTTTGAGGGTCTTCGAGCAGGAACAACAAACTCTCCTCTCTTCCTTGATCATGCCTCTCCTTGTGCTTTTTCTAGCAAAAATACTATTTTTTTTCAGCCAAGATCTCCCCAATTTCCAGGAAAAAATAGGATAATAATAATAATATCTAGACTACAACCCCCCTTTTTGGAATACTTTCCCAATTACAAGAAACCAACTCATTTCTTCCAGTTTTTCATCTAATGTGTTCGCTTCTCCAAACCTCCCTTCTTACTTTCCCGACAAAAATCCTTTTCATCATCAATTCTGCCACAATTAGATTCCCCCCCCCCCCTCAAAACCCTCTAGGTTGCTCTTACCTGGCTGGGGTGGTGGGGAAGAAATAAGGTTTTGTTTTGTTTTTGTTTTTTAAAAAAGAAAGTAGTTTCCTCCATCTTTATCTCTTCAGCTTAGTATTGCTTCACGTCATCCCCAAATTGCCTTTCTTCTCAATTTCATACCTGTTTCCCTGCTTGTTTGGGGGTCCAAGTTCTGACTGCCCCTTCCTTTTCACTACCTGTTTTCAGGGCAAAAGATATTGGATGAGTTTTCAAAAATTACCACCTCACCCTTCCAGGAGGAGATAGCGAAGGTCCGATTCCACCTGAACCCCCTTTCCTGTGGGGCCTAAGCCAGGCCCTCCTGTTTCCTGGAGAATCACTCACTTGCTTTTGGGGTGAGTTTCCTTCCTTTGCACCTGTTCAAAGACACCTGCTGTGTCGTGTGGATCACTCTTCCAGCATTTCTGAGCATCTCTACACCAGTGTGAAGACCATACACGTTGCTGGCAAAATCAGCAGAAGGATAAGTATAAGCATAAGGGAGTCATTGAAAGAGATCTCGGGGCACAGGCCGGTTGACCTCTTCTGAGGCAGACTTTTATTAGATTGAAGTATGTTTTCATTGTTGATGTTCATTGAAAAAAAATAACTTTTACCTTTTCTGCTGGTTCAGGGTAGCAACTCAGATCCCTACAGGGACAAGCAAATGAGGGATCATAGTAGGAGGGATTATAACAATCCAAGTTGTGTTCTCCCGTTGAGTGATGACAGCTAGTGCAGATAACCAATCAGAAATGCCAGGCCAGGGGGACTGGAGAGATGGCTCAGTGGTTAAGAGCATTGACTGCCCTTCTAGAGGTCCTGAGTTCCATTCTTACCAACCACATGGTGGCTCACAACCATCTGTAATAGGATCTGATGCCCTCTTCTGTCATGCAAGCATTCATGCAAATAGAGCACTTATATACATAAAATACATAAATTTAAAAAAAGAAATGCTGGGCTGGATTTGCAAGAAGAGAACTTTTTTTTTTTTTAAGATAAGGCTTATAAACTGTCTTTATGTGAAAGTTAAATTACTAATGCTAAGCGGGTGGTGGTGGCGCACCCTTTTAATCCCGGGAGGCAGAGCCAGGCAGATCTCTGTGAATTTGAGGCCAGCCTGGGCTACAGAGTGAGTTCCAGGAAATGAGCAAAGCTGCACAGAGAAACCCTGTCTCAAAAAAAAAAAATTACTAATGCTAACAATTAGCTTAATAGTTACAAATGGCAGGGCAGGGACTGGAGAGGTGGTTTATTGGTTAAGAATACTGGCTGCTTTTCCAAAGAATCTGGAGTCAATTCCTAGCACTCACATGGTGACTCATAACCATCCGTTAACCCAGTCCCAGGGTCCAGTGCCCTCTTCTGGCCTTCCTTGGCACTGAACGAATGTGGTACAAAGACAAATGTGCAGGCAAAACATACTAATATTTTTAATGGCAGGGCAGGAGATGTAGCTCAGTTGTGAGAGTATTTGCCTAGCGTGGATGAAGCCCTGATGTGATCCACAGCACTATATAAAACCTAGTGTGGTAGTGCACACCTATCCTGCCAATACTTGGGAGATGGAGGCCAGAGGATCAGAAGTTTAAGGCCATTCTCTTCTATGAATTTGAAGCATACAAATGGGATACATATAACCCTGTCTCAAGAAAACAGTTAAAAAAAAAAACTAAGAGTACTAATCACACCAATAATCTCAGCACTCAGAAAGCTGAGGCAGATTGCTGAGAGTTCAAGGCTGACCTGGACTACAGAGTGAGGTCCTGTCTCAAAAAAAAAAAAAAAAAAAAAAAAAAAGGAAGAAAGAAAAGAAAAAAAGAAAGACAATGTGAGGCCTTAGAAAATATATTTTTGGCCGGGCGGTGGTGGCACACGCCTTTAATCCCAGCACTGGGATCTCTGTGAGTTCGAGGCCAGCCTGGTCTCCAAAGCGAGTTCCAGGAAAGGCGCAAAGCAACACAGAGAAACCCTGTCTCAAAAAAAAAAAAAAAGAAAGAAAATATATTTTTGAGTTGGTTGTGATGGTGCACACCTTTAATCCTAGCACTGGAGACAGAGGCAGGCATATCTCTGAGTTCAAGGCTAGTTTGATCTACATAGGTCCAGAACAGCCAGGACTATGTAGAGAGTCCCTGTCTCAAAAAAACAACACATAATATAAATAAATAGGAAAGAAAATATATTTAGCCACTGCTATATTTGAAGTTTTAGGCTTACGAATTTTGTTAGTTTTGCTGGGAATCCAACCCAGAACCTTGAGCATGCTAAGCAAGCACTCTGCCACTGAGCTACACCACCAGACCTAGAGATTTTTTTTTTCCTGTAGGAAATACACTTACCAGGGTAAACACACTTAGAGGACCTTTTCTCTTTAGAATATTAGGTGTTAAACTTTTGGTCTTCAGTAACCTGTTAGTTGGGTAAGGTAGCACATACCAATAATCCCCAACTAAGTAGGCTAAGGGAAGAGAATTGAGAGTTAGGTCAGCCGGGGCTACACAATGGGATCCTGATTCAGGAAAAATAAAAACCTTTAATTCTTGAGGATCTCAGAGAGTTTTTATGTAAAATATGTAGACTAGTATTTTTCTATTAGAATTTCAATTAAGTCATTGGGTATCTGCATTCACCCTCCTGAGATATTAAATATGTCAAAGATATTATCTCAAACATTTCTGAATTAATCTTTAAATTTGCAAATCCATGGTCTTGCAATCGTGTACCGTGCACAAAGCACTAAGTTGATCCCCAGCAATGAAAAATTAAGATAGTGGCTAGACCTGGTGGAGCAGCCCAGCCACGCAGGAGGCTAGTATTAAATATGGTCAAATGTGACTTGCTGAAAGTTTTGTTGTTTGTATGAAGCATGCAGGACAAGAAATACATCAAGGCCAAAAAATCCGAGTGAGTACAGTGGGCCAGGCCTATAATTCCTCTGTCACTAGAGGCTAGAGATTGTTTGAGTCTGAAATCAGCTTGGGAAACAGTAAGACCCTGTTACAAAAAAATAAGAACAGGCTGGGCATAGTGGTGGCTGCCTTTATTCCCAGCAATCAGAGAGGCAGAGGTAGACAGATCTCTGTGGGTGCAAGGCCAGCCTACTGACTAGGCTGAGAGCCAGCTACACACTAGGACCCTGCTTCAAAACAACACTAAATACCACATTCTATTCTTGTTTTGTTTTGTTTTGTTTTGTTTTGTTTTGTTTTTCAAGACAGGGTTTCTTTGTGTAGCTTTGTGCCTCTCCTGGAACTCACTCTGTAGTCCAGGCTGCCCTCGAACTCACAGAGATCCACCTGCCTCTGCCTCCCAAGTGCTGGGATTAAAGGGGTGTGCTACCACTGCCTGGCACCACATTCTGTTCTTCATGGCAAAATACAATAACAATGAAGCCATTGCTTATGAATATACATGACATCTTAATTAAAAACTATGATAGAAAATTTAGTACGAAGGGTACCATTGACATGTTTCTGTGGTTGTGTGTAGCCATCATGCACTCAGCTGAGATACTGTGTCATGTATCTTCACTGAGAATAAAAATAGCTTTGACCTCTGAACTTCCTGAAAAATTCTTGGGAGGCCCTGCATTTACCTTATTAAGAAAAATGTAGTTGGGCATGGTGGCACACACCTTTAGTCCTAGTACTTGGGAGGCAGAAGCAGGCAGATCTCGGAGTTCAAGGCCAGCCTGGTCTACAAATGGATCCAGGACAATCAGGGCTACACAGAGAAACCCTGTTTTGGAGGAAAAAAAAAAGTTGAAAGGGCTGATGAAACAGAGAGATGGCCCATCAGTTAAGAGCAATGGCTGCTCTTCCAGAAGCCTGGGATTCAATTCCCAGCACCCGCATGGCATCTCACGCGCTTATCTGTAACTCCAGTTCCAGAGCTTCTGACACCTCACACAGATATACATGCAGGCACAATGCCAATGAACATAAAATTAATTATATATTTTTTAAAAGAAAGAAAAAAATGCTCTAGATTTTTATTTTGTGTCTTTCCCTTTTTTGAAACAGGGTCCCAGGCTTGAACTCAGGGTGTACTCCTTGAACTCCTGGTAGTCCTGCCTCTACCCCCACCCCAGTGGCTGGAACTGAGGTGTATGCCACCGTACCCTGATTGCTATTCTAGATCCTCCTTTAGTTGACTCAGTGCCAGAGATTTTCTTTGTGAGCGTCCTTCAGATTCCTCTGTGTCTCATTTTTTTTCTTTTTTCTTTCCTTTTTTTTTTCTTTGGTTTTTTAGAGACAGAGTTTCTCTGTTTTCTTTCCTGGATCTCGCTCTGTAGACCAGGCTGGCCTCGAACTCACAAAGATCTGCCTGCCTCTGCCTCCCAAGTGCTGGGATTAAAGGTGTGCACCACCACCACCACCACCACCACCACCACCACCACCACCACCACCACCACCACCACCACCACCACCACCACCACCACCCGGCTCATTTTTTTCTTATGACAGAGCTTTGCTATGCAGTCCATAACAGCCTCGGACTCTCAATTCTCTGCCTTAGTTTCCCATGTGCTAGAAATAGAGCCATGTGCCACTACTACACAAGACAAAATCCAGTCTTTAAATAAGTGATCAGAGGAAAAGAGTCAGTCCTCTGGTTAAAACCATATGGCTAGAAGAGGAGGTCTTCCTTGATTATTCCGGTTCACAATGTAGGTACAGAGTGCAAGGCAGGAGTCCAATGTCATGTGTGGAATAATAGCGTAGTAGAGTACTTAAGTGTGAAGGCTTCCAGATCACACTGCTCAGGGCAGGATTCTAACACTGAATTAGAATGAGTTATTTATCTGGGTTTTCTTTATGTCACCCATGACAAGGTTAATAATGTAGCACATGCCTCAGAGAGGGGTCGGGGGAACTAAAAATGGCATGTGAGTGATCTCAGCAGTACTTGGCATGTGGTAAAACCTCAATAATGTCCATGCTGTTATCATGAGGATGATTATTACAAGGGCCTGCCAGGGAGACAAGTAGAGACTATGGGCAGGGGAGGCTGTGAGCCCTGGCTAGAGATGATAGTTATCTCTGGCTCTGTTTTGTTGTTCACTGTCAGGAAATATTAAATCTGATAATTTATAAGAGATGATAGAAGTCTGTATATGTCAGGAAATCCTCTCTAATTGTGCTGTGATAGAAAAAGGGCTGAGCATCTACACAAATGGTTTACCACTGAGATCTCTCTCCAGTCCTTGATTTTTGAGACTGAATCTCACTATGTTGCTCAGACTAGTCTTGATCTTCTTATGACCTTTTCACCCAAGTACTGGGATGACAGGCAAGTGCCACTGTGCCTGAAAATAAAAATCTCTTCATTTAAAAAAAAATGTTGCTGA